TTTTTTTTTTTTTTTTTTTTTTTTTTGTCTTGTTTTGTTTTCATGTTGCACTTATACTTTGTCATTGTTTCCATCATGTACAGATACCCATTATATTATAAATGGCAATCCAATTTTCGTTCCCTTTATTTCTGTAGAACGAGTACAAGGATGAAAAAAAAAAAAGAAATATCCAGAAACGATTCCATTTCACCTTGTTATGAATGATTTTAATGTGATTCAACTTGGGTTTTTTTATTTTATTTTTTCTTTATTATTCTTCTCTTGTGTTCTTTGTTTTTTTTTTTCTTTTTTTCTTAGATGCGGGATAGTTGTGCTGTGTCTGTGGAGATGGGAGGAACTCCTCCTATTCCACGTGAAAGATTAGAAGCACTGCGACACCCACGACTATTACCCCGCAGTATTCCACCTTCTTTTACATTGCAGAGTCAATTGCTGGGCGCGGAGTTCTGTGCCTCTATTTCTGCAGCCATGATAAGAATGGCACAGAAGAATACTACTACTAATACTAATACTACTAATAGTACTACTATTTCTAGTTCTCCAAAGGTGATGGAAACATCATCTTCACAGGCGTTGTTGTTTGATCTTTCTGCGCATTACGGATCCCACACCCTTCGTCGGGCGGCGAGTTATCCATTAGGGCCGTGTTACGCAAGCCGAGAGCGACGGCGAGCTTTAAAGGGACATCATGATGGCAGAAGACAATTGTGGTCTTTGCGTGCAGCACATAAACTTTGGTGTCGCCGCTGTGGAGTCTTTCTTCTTAGTGGAGAGACAAAACAACTTCTTTCAACATGTCTCTCCACCGTAACTGTTTATCCAGAAAATGATACAAACACAGTCTCTAGTAATACTACTTCTACTAATCCAAAGAAAAGAGGAGACTATGTGTGCTTCCGATGCTTTAGAGATGAATACACCTCCAGGAGGAAGAATGAATCTGTGGATACGACACTTCTTTCTTTATCGTCAGAGAAGGAATGCCCAACAACAACAATGGTATCTCCTGCTAAAATAGGCCGAACATGTAGACGAAAGCGTAAAGGTCGTGGAAAGAGTATAGTTCCAGTCAAGGCGGTTGAATCTCTTGCTGCTTCAATAGTAAAGACAGGGAATGAGGCTATTAATATGAGAACAGCTACTGTTTCTGCGGTGCCTAAAGGATCCTTATCACGTAGAAAAAGAGAACGTGAGACAACAGGACCGAAAGAAATTGTCCCAGTTGAGAAAAAGAAAGAAGTGCTTCCTGTGGATGATGATGATAATAATAATAATGACACTCAAAGAAGTAGCTCGAAATCTATAGAAGGAGGAAAAATAATACGTGTGGAAAAAACCACAGCTAATTCAATTTCTTCTTCTTCTTCTTTATCTTCTTCAACAACAAAAAAAACCGTTTTAACTAAACCAGAACCTTTGATGAATTCGAAAGTTCCCACAGTGGTACAGAACTCTTTGCCACCACCCCCACCACCAAAGGGTCGTCGTCCTGCAGCGAAAAAGAATGACAAGAGTGGTAGTACTCCGTCAAGTAATTCATTTGCTAACACAATGTCGAGACTTGGTCTGTAAGTTTATGATCTGAATATATATATATATATATAT